TAAACTCCACACAGACAGTCACCCAACTGTGGCATTGAACCCATGTCCCACATGCTGTGAGGCAGTAGTGCTGACCACTGAGCTACTGTGCTGCCCATCTTCTGCCCCCACCCCCATTCAACCTTTGTCTCTTTATTCCTTATTTCTTCACTGAGTCACCTTCCTCAGATCTCTCAGGAGGAAGCAGAAGTTAACTCAATATATTATCAGGGATAGGATGGATTGAGGAATGTGAAGATATGGGAGTTGATGACACTGGAGTCAGAACTTCTACTTACTTCTAGCATTCTTTTTAACTTAGTCATCCTTCTCCTGATCCAACTTAATTAAACTCATGAAGGTTAACAGGGAACTGTGTTAAAATTCTGGACTGATTGTTTGAGGAAGGGTGGTACCTTTTTTGTTTTGTTGGTAGTTCTCTCTGAAGATTTGATCATGTCACTTCTCACTCAGTGTTCGTCATTAGCTTCTTGTCCCTGCTCAAACTGAGAAAACAATAGCTTGCCTTGAGGAACATATTTGTGCCACAGAAGTGAAAGGCATCATTGACAAGAGAGAATCTAACCATTGCCCTTTGACATTCGATGGCATTGCCATCACTGATCCCCCACTTTTAATACCCTTGAGGTAACTACTGACCAGAAATTGACCACACAAACACAATGGCTACAAGAGCAGATCAGATGCAAGGAATACTGCAGCAAGTAGCTCAGCTTCTGACTCCCCAAAGCCCGTCCACCATCTACAAGGCACAAGTGTGATGGAATACTCCCCATTTGCCTGTATCACTGCAGCTCCAACAACACTGAAGGAGCTTGGCACCATCCAGGACAAATCAGCCCATTGATTGGCACCACATCCACAAGCATCCACTCCCCCCACCACTGACGCTCAGCAGCAGCAGTGTGTACTATCTACAAGATGTACTGCAGAAATTCACCAAGGATCTTTACACAGCACCTTCCAAATTCTGCAATCACTTCCACTTGGAAGGACAAGGACAAGTTACATGTGGTAATGCTACCATCTGCAAACTCTCTTCAGCTTTATCCTCCATCAAGGGAACAGACCCTTTGTCACTGACTTGAGGTAAGGTTGTGGTGTAGAGGCAATGTCACTGGACTATGTAGAACATAGAACAGTACAGCACAGCACAGGCCCTTCGGCCCACGATGTTGTGCTGACCTATTATCCTACTCTAAGATCAATCTACCCTGTATACCCTACATTTTACTATTCTCCATGTGCTTGTCCAAGAGTAGCTTAAAAGTTTCTAATGTATCTGACTCCACTACCAGTGCCGGCATCGCATTCCACACACCCACTGCTCTGTGTGAAGAACCTACCTCTGACATCTCCCCTATACCTTCCTCCAATCACCTTAAAATTATGCCCCCTTGTGATTTCCGCCCTGGGAAAAAGTCTCTGACTATCCACTCTATCTAGTTGTACACAAACCCCAGGTTAATGTTCTGGGGGCATGCATTCAAATCCCATCATGGCAGATGATCAAATTTGAATTCTATAAAAATACTGAAGTAAAAGCTGGCTGAGTGGTAGCCATGTAACCACTGCCTATTGCTGAAAAAAAAACACATCTGGTTCACTAATTCCTTTTTAAGAAAGGAAATCTGCCATTCTTACCAGGTCTTGTTTACATGCGACTCCAGACCCACAGCAATGTGGTTGACTTGTTAAATGTTCCCTGGGCAATTAGAGATGGACAATAAATGCTGGTCTAACCGGTGACACCTACATCCCGTGAACAAATATAAAAACCTGAGTTAACCTCAACTGTTTGGGTAGCACGGTGGCTCAGTGGTTAGTACTCTTGCCTCACAGCTCCAGGGACCCAGGTTCAATTCTGGCAACTGTCCATGTGGAGTTTACACGCTGTCCCTGTGTCTGCATGGATTTCCTCCAGGCGGTCTGGTTTCTTCCCACAGTCCAAAGGTGTGCAGGTTAGCTGGATTGGCCCATGCTAAACTGCTTATAGTCCACAAAGATGTGGGTTAGCTATGGTAGATGCAGTGTTACAAGGATGGGATGGGTTTGTTGGGTCTGGGTAGGATGCTCTTCAGAGGTTGGTGCAGACCTAAGGGGCCAAATGACTTCTTTCTGCACTGTAGGGATTCTGTCAGTGAGAGGAGACTCCTGGGAGCTTAGTGACTTTAGCTGTATTCATGAGAGATCGCAGGCCACCGTCTTGTTCTGATGTGTTTGATCAGATTGAGCCCTCATGGGCTTCCCCCCACACAAAACTCTGGAATAAAAGGTTTGCCAAACACACTTGCATCTGAAGACATTTCCTTTAAGATGTCTTAGGAGTACACACTAGCAATTTATGCATGCTCATGAGTGTCTAGCCATAAATGTAAAGATTTAATTAAAACCTTGAAATATGAACCTAGCAGAGGATTGCATGGGAAGTGCTGATTAAAGGTGTTACTTCACAAATCTAATTAATGTCCTTCATTTTCCATTCCTGAGCAGGTGAATATTGATATGTTCTTTTATTCAAACAGAATTTTTCCAGAACTGCTATGTTTATTGTGGAGACATCTAGAGTGTTACCGAACACAACAAATTGCATTCACAAAGTACCTTTGATGTTGCAACATGCCCTATCCAATTCTCAATTCCCATAAAGATCCTACTTTCACCTTCCCATCACTCAAATTGCCATCTCCAAGCTCCAATACTTAACCCCCCTTCCCTTTCCCCATTACCCCAACCCCATTTCCCAAACCCCAATCCCGTCTCCCAAATTGTGTCCTGAACAAATCTGACATCGGGTGTCATGTTGTACATTTTTGCTAGTATTTTTCCCTAATTTCTGTCTTAGGAACTGTGGGTTTGCCAGGAATGGAGAACATTGACAACCATTTGCTTGCGTTGAAGCAAGCGATTTGTCATGAACTTTCTAGTTTTGATGGTCATGGTGTCATTCTAAAATTCTTCCCCATCTCCCAAATTCCAATCGCATCTCCTAAATTGCCATTCCTAACACCCAAAACCCCATCTCTCCATCAAATCACAGCGATAAAATATGGCAGATGCTGAAGGTTTGAAATAAAGATTGGAAGTGCAGGACAGATTCAACAGGTCTGGTAGCATCTGTGAAGAGAGTAACAGAGTTAACATTTTCAGTTCAATGACCTTTCCTCAGAATCCTTATGAGAAGATCAGATGAAATGTTATCGAGCTGAAATATTAACTCTGCTTTTCTCTCCACAGATGCTGCCAAATGTGCTAGCTTTCTCCAACATTTTTTCTCTTGTCTCACATCTCTCAATCCCCACCTCCATCACATTTTCCTATTTCGCTGATCCTCCATTCCCTAATCCCTATCTCAGAGTCCTTAATCCCCTATCTTTACATCGCTACCTCCCTATCTCTCCATTTCTAATTCCCTGCCTTTCCATCTCTTAGTCTCTATCGTCCCTTCTCTATCTCACTGTCTCTCTGAAAGAGCTACACAGAGGCTGGGTCCAATCACCAAGTCACCCTTTATTTACTAGTGCACAGTACACTGGCTGTAGCCAGCCAGCTTGGAGTCGATCCTCAACTGAGGAGATTCTAATCTCCTGATTACTTTTCTTATGCCCACAACCTACTGCCATACAGCAGTAGTGCGTATTTTTCCCAGCACCTGGGTGTGTGTGTAGGTGCGAGACACAATAAAAACACCAGGCGTGTAAATAACTTTTTTGATAGTCCGCCACCAGGAAAAATACCCATGCGACCAAAGAACCAGAAGCAAGCACAGCCCCCTGGGGCAATGCCTATGTGAACGAAAAGGGGAAGTGGGATGGGGGTGTTGGGGTAGGGATCAAATCAAAATGGAATTGGAGTGGGAAATAAAGCACTCACCCCGCAGTGCCCACCTCTCTCCTGGGTGTATTGGTCAGCCAAGGCTTTCCTGACTAGCCCAGGTTAACATCCCCAAACAAGAACTTCATAGTTATTGAGGTCCACCTGGTCCCAATCACTACATTCTCCGATTCTAATTGCCTCTGTTTCCTTTTCTATCTCACCATCTGTCCATTCCCAATTCCCTATTTTTCCTTCTCTATTTCTGTATCGCTCCATTCCTAATTTCCTATTTTTCCCACAGTATCTTCTTGTCTCACAATCCCTAATTCCTTACCTTTCCTTCTCTATCTCCCTATTTCTCTATCTCTGTCTCTCAGTCCTCCCATACCAATCTATCACTTTGCAGTTCCCTGCCCTATGGGTCCTCTATTTGCTGACTCCATGATAGAAGGTGATATCTCCAACTAGGGGCTGCTGAGAGGTTGGCCGGGACTGCTGGTGATGTTGGTCATCAGAGCAGAATGGAGAGTCAATATCTACTGGGTCAGCTAGAGTCATTGAGCAAGGATTGATCAATATCTAAGGAGGGGTATGCCTGGAGTTTTTGGGTGGGGGCAAGGGGGAGGTTGGGAGAGAGGATGAATATGGGTTTTGAATATCTGAACAGGAGATCCAAGACTGGGCTTGTTTTGGAGTGTAACCAGAGGAACTGGAGTTGCAGGTGTATCTCTGAGTCGATGGAAGGGGGTCATGACAAATATGTGCTCTGAGTCAGAAATAAGTGGTGAGAGGGCGGTCTGTGGGCCAGGGTGCATTCATCACACACGGGGTCATAATGGCAAGGGGAGGGAGAGATGCCAGTATCTGAGTGGGCAGCGAGGATGGCATGGGTCTCAGGGATTTGGGAAGTGAAGGGGCAACAGGAAACATGAGTGATTGAGAGAGAGAGATCTGAGCCTACAGACGGGACGGTGAGAATGGAGGCTTCAACTATTGTTATGGCTCTGAGTCAAATGGGGGGATGGGGTGCGGTGATGATGAGGGAGGGGGTCAGGGGGTCTCTGCTGACATATGTAACCCATATGAGACACTTACACTCTCCATCTGTGGGCACTGATATGAGCTGGCATCTCTTGCTACATGACTACTTGGTTAAACCCTGTAACTAATGTGGTTTCTCTTAGGATATAGCAACACAGGCATTTGCAACACCTTCGCCAGTTAGAACTGTGATTGTGGCGGACTTTGATAATGATCAGGAGCTTGAAGTATTTCTCAATAATATTGCATACCGAGGGTCTTCTGCAAACCGCGTCTTCAGGTGAGTCCATATTTTCAATAATCGTAAAAGTTTTCTAAAAGAGGCCCATTCAGCCCATCAGATCTGCACTGGCTCTCAAACAACTGTGCTTGCTCTGTACTCCTGTTAAGTTCCAATCCAACTCCCCCTTCAAATCATTTTTATTTCCACCATCTTTTCAGCGTGTTCTGGATCCTAATAATTCTTGCTATTTAAATATTTCTCCCTTTCTCCCCTCCAAATCTTTGACCAATGATGTTAAACCTCTGACCTCCGGCTATTGACCCACTTGCCAAAACAGATCATTCTTCCCAATCAAAACCTCTCGTTGTAATGAAAACATCGCACACATAGGAAGATGGTTATGGCTTTGTATTTCAGTCATCTTAGCTCCAGGACATCTCTGCAGGATTCCTCAGGGTAGTGTCCTAGGCCCAACCATCTTCAGCTGCTTCATCAATGACCTTCTCTCCATCATAACATCAAAGTGGGGATGTTCGCTGATTATTGCACAATGTTCAGCACCACTCGTGACTCCTCAGAAAGTGAAGCAGTCCATGTACAAATGCAACAAAATCTGGACAATATCCAGGCTTGGGCTGACAAGTGGCAAGTAATGTTCACACCCAACAAATGCCAGACATTGACCAACTTCAAGAAAAGGTGATCTAAGGACCTTCTCTTGATATCCAATGGTGTTACCATCACTGAATTTCCCACTATCAACATGCTATGGGTTATCACTGACCAGAAACTCATTTGGACTCACCCTATCAATACTGCAGCTACAAGAGGAGGTCAGAGGTTAGGAATATTGCGGCGAGTAACTCGCCTCCTGACTCCCCAAAGCCTGTCCACCATCTACAAGGCACAAGTCAGGAGTGTGATGGAATTCTCCCCACTTGCCTGGATGGGTGCAGCTCCAACAACACACAAGAAGCTCGACACCATCCAGGATAAAGCAGCCCGCTTGACTGGCATCATATCCACAAGCATCCACTCCCTCCATCACCAACACTCAGTAGCAGCAGTGTGTGCTATCAACAAAATGCAGAAATTCACAAAAGATCCTCAAACAGCAATGTGATTACACTTCTTCTTTGTGTTTTTTTATCCACAATTTCACCTTCAGTTGTTGCCGGGACAAGGCTGTCAGGTCATTACTTCCCTTGGCTATCTTTTCTTCTCTCTATCTGCACTTGGCAATCCTCTCGATTCCTGCACTTTTCCCCCTGATCTAACCCACTCGTGTGGGTTTCTGTCCACCCACTCGATTCTGTGCAACCTCCATTCAAACACCTGATCTGGTTCTTTTGGGGAAAGAAAGGCTTTCATCGCTGTGTCTCTCACACCCTCAGGACGTCCCAAAGCAGTTTCCAGCCAACATATATTTTTTGCATTGCAGTTACTGATATAATATAGAATGCATAGCAATTTGTATACAGCAAGATCCCATCAATAGTAATCTGATAATCACCAGTAAAAACACTTTCTAAACTAGTGTTATCGAGTAGAAAGCATTTCAGTAGAATACACCTTAGCCACAATACCTCCATGTGGGTGTGTCTGTGTGTTTGTCTGTGTGTGTGTATGTGTGTCTACATCTGTCTGTCTGTCTCTGTGTGTGTCTATCTGTCTGTGTGTCGATGTGTCTGTCTATGTGTGTATCTATCTGTCTCTGTGTCTATCTGTCTGTTTGTGTCTATATCTGTCTGTCTGTGTCCATCTATCTGTGTGTGTGTGTGTGTGTGTGTATGCACCTGTGTGTGTGTGTGTGTCTCTGTGTGTGTATATCTATGTGGTTGTGTCTGTGTGTGTGTGTATATGAGATATAGAGTCATACAGCACAGAAACAGACCCTTTGGTCCAACTCGTCCATGCTGACCAGGTTTCCTCAACTGAACTAGTCCCATTTGCCTGCATTTGGACCAGAACCCTCCAAACTTTTCTAAATGTCTTTTAAATGTTGCAACTGTACTTGCATCTACCACTTTCTGTGCCAGCTCATTCCATATACACAGGACTCTGCATGAAAAAAGTTGCCCCTTAGGTCCCTTTTAAATCTTTCCCCTCTCACGTAAAACCTATTTCCTATGGTTTTGAACTCCCTACCCTAGCAAAAAGACCTTGGCTGTTCACCCTATCGATGTCTATTGTTGTCACATGTACTGAGATACAGTGAAAGGTGTTGTTTTGTGTGCTCTGCAGGCAGAGCATACCATACAAAGTGCATTGGGGTAGCCGACCAGAGTGCAGAATACAGTGTTACAGCTGCAGAGAAGTTACAGAGAGAGAGATCAACAGCAACATTTCAGAAGGTCCATTCAAAGGTCTAATAACAGTGGAGAAAAGGCTGCCCTTGAATCTGTTCAAACTTGTATTCAAACTTTTCTATCTTCTGCCCAATAGAAGAGGGTGGAATAGACTATAACTGGGGTGGGAGGGGGCTTTGATTACATTGGTTGCTTTTCCGAGGCAGCGGGAAGTATAGGTGGAGTCAACGGATGGAAGGCTGGTTCACAACTCTCTGTAACTTCCTGCCGTCTTGGGAAAAGCAGTTACAATTCCTTGCTGTGATGCATCCACATGGGATGCTTTCTATGGGGCATCTATAAAAATTGTCAAGTGTCCTTGTAGACATGCCAAACTTCCTTGGCCTCTTGAGGATGTAGAGACGTTGTTGTGCTTTCTTGACCATTGCCTCGATGTGGGTGGACCAGGACAGATTGATGGTGATCATCATCCCCAGGAACGTGACAATCTCAACCGTCTCCACCTCAGCATCATTGATACAGACAGGGGCATGCCCTCCATTCTGCTTCCTGAAGTCAATGACCAGCTTCTTTGTTTTGCTGACGGTGATGGAGAGATTGTTGTCTTGACACCATGTTGCTAACCACTCAATATCTTCCCTGTATTCTGTCTCATCATTGGTTGAGAACCAACCTAAAATGGTGGTGGCATCAGCAAACTTGTAAATAGAGTTGGGACAGAATTTGGCCACACAGTGGTGAGCGTATAAGGAGTATAGTAGGGGGCTGAGTACGCAGACTTGCGGGGCACCAGTGTTGAGGATTATAGTGGAGCAAGTGTTGTTGCCTCTTTTTACTAATTGCATTTATGGATCAGAAAGTCAAGGATCTAGTTACAGAGGGGGGAGCCGAGACCCAGATCTCAGAGTTTAGAGATGAGTTTGTTTGGAATAATGGTGTCAAATGTGGAACTGTAGTCAGTTTGACACAGATGTCCTTGTTATCCAGATATTCCAGGAATGAGTGTAGGGCCAGGGATATCATAGAATCATAGAATCTTATAGTGTGGAAGCAGGCCATTCGGCCCATTGTGTTCACACTGACCCTCTGAACACCATCCTACCCAGACCCACTCTCCTACCCTATCCCTGCATTTCCCATGGCTAACCCACCCAGCCTGCACATCCCTGGACACAATGGGCAATTTACCATGGCCAATCCACTGAACCTGCACATGTTTGGACTGGTGTTTGCTGTGGATCTGTTGCGCTGGTAGGCGAATTACAAAGGAACAAGGCAATTTGGTAAGGCTGGAGCCGATGGCTAACCTCTCAAAGCATTTCATGATTATGGAAGTCAGAGGCACCAGGTGGATATCAGTGTCCCTCGTGATTTTATAAACATCTATAAGGTCACCTGTCAGCCTCCTACATTGTAGGGAGAGAAGTCCTGTTCTATCCAGCCTCGCCTTATAACTCAAAGCCTGTAGTCCTGGCAACATCCTGGTAAATTTTCGGCACCCTCTGTAGTTTAACAAAGTCCTAATATATATGTGTGTCTGTGACTGTGTGTGTCTGTCTGTGTGCTGTGTGTGTGTGTGTGTGTGTGTGTGTGTGTATGTGTCTGTCTGTCTGCCTGCCTGCATCTGTGTGTGTGTGTGTGTGTGTGTGTGTGTCTGTGTCAGCGTGTGTGTGTCTGTGTGTGTGTCTGTCTGCATCTGTGTGTGTGTGTGTGTGTGTGTCTGTGTGTGTGTGCGTGTATGTGTCTGTGTGTGTGTCTGTCTGCATCTGTGTGTGTGTGCGTGTGTTTGTGCCTGTGTGAGTGTGTGTGTGTCTGTGAGTGTGTTGTGTGAGTGTGTGTGTGTGTGTGTGTGAGTGTGTGTGACTGTGTGTGTCTGTGTGTGAGTGTGTCTGTGTGTGTATGTGAGTCTGTGTTTAATTAGCCAATACCCATCAGCATTCAGTGACTATCCGAAGTGGAACAGCCACAATGATCACAGCTCATTGCAGCGTCTACCTTTCCTCTTGGTGTTGCACCAGGAATGTTCCAAAAGGTTAAAGCTTACTCAAGCATGTCAGCGTCATGTCATGTGACCCAATCGACCACATCTCCTGTTCACTCTTTCATTCACCGATCAGGAACCCAACTAACCACATCTGGATTCCTGACTAACCCTTCTTGGATTTCCAAGTAAACACATCCAGATTTCCAATTAGTCACATCTGGGTTCCCAAACTAACCACATCTGGATTCCCAGCTAACCACATCTGGCCAGTGTCCAGCTTTAGACAGGGCTGCACCATCCCCTGTGTTGGGGGTTTGAGCAGTTTTGTGCCGAGATAGGAGAATAGTGAGCAGGTCAAACTGTAAGGAATAAAAGCACAGGAGTCATATTGGCAGCTAACAGCTCACGTTGTCTGGCTAATAATGCACTGCCCACATTCCCGTATCTAATAGATAAACTGCAATACATGTTTTCCCCGAAGACAATTTTCTTTGGGCTTGTATTGCATTTCATTTTGTGAATATTGAATTGACAAGAGTGCTCTCAGATATTAATATATAGATTGCATTTAGTGGCCAGCCTCTATGATGAATGTGTTCAGGCAAGGAACAGCCAATTTTCAATTTGCTAACTTGTGAATGCAAGCCAATTTCTCTCTCCCTCTCCCTCTCTCTCAAAGGCACTTCATTCTCACCTAATATCCATCACTCAATGTCTCTGTTATCGATCCTCTGAGGCAGCTATTAAAAAGCAACACCTTGCAGGAAGTAATAAATGACCTTCTGAATTAATGAGGAGTTCAGCGACAGAAGTGAACAGCATTGCGTGTCCAGCGCAGAGCAGAAAGATCATGGACAGCACAGGGCTTGTCTGAAGTCAGGTGTCTTGGTGGGGGGAGGGGTATAGAAATTCTCAGGCTGCAGAAAATGGAATGCTAGCAACTCTGTGGGGTAGCCCTGTGACTCACAGACTGCAGTGGTTCCAGGAGGAAGCTCAATGCCATCTCCTAAAGGGGCACTCTGGCTAAACAATAAATACTGGCCTTGGCAGGGACACCTGCATTCCATGAAAGAATGGAGAAAACAGAAAAGAAGAAGAGTTGGGCGTGCAGAGGGGATTGCTTTATTTTATGATGGGACAGCTTCTGATGCTGTAGGTTCTATGGAGCATTTGACATTGCTTGGACATGTCCCGAGGGTTAGTGGGAAGGAGTGGGCCCATGCTAAGGCATGAGACTGAAAACAGCAGCAAATTTGGATGCTCCTGTATTGATCCCAAGCCAATTGGTGAAGAGTAAAACTAGACCCCCATATATTCTGTGATTCAGAGATTGCAACATTACATACTATTACATGTTACTGATCACAGCTTGCAGCGTTACATATCATTACATACTGTAATTCATTGAATACAACATTACTTGTCATTAGATATTGCATTTCACAGAATGCATCGTTGCGCGTTTCTAATTCCTACCTCTGTTCCCGTATGTCAGCAGTCTCAATATTAAACAACCAATTGCAATAATATAATATTTTAGGAACCAAGTTAATACGTGGCCGCTCTTTAAAATAAGCTGCAACTAAGCTAAACTCACAAATGAAACATTTGATATTTAAGTTAAAATTTCGTTTAGAGTAGTGATTATACACTCCACTGGTTGTGGAAAGAGTTTCTCTTTATAATTACTTAATGAAACAATTCCCTCTTCCCATTTATATCTTAATAAGATAAGCAATATCTTATTAACGCTGGCTCTTCCTGTGTGCTGTGACATTCTGCTGATGTTTGGTGTGAGTTTCTGCTCCTGTTTTGGTTGTATCAGTGTCATGGACTGACATTCACATTCTGCCCTCTTGTCTTTTCATTATGGATGTGGCTAACGGTGTGACAATGACCAGATAATCTGTTTTGTCTTTTAGTGATTTTGATGCTGGACTTTGGAAATAGCATTGTCCAAACATTAGCTTTCAACCTTTGGGAGGGAACTTTTAATTCTTAAATTACGCAGCAGGCTTTGCTCAATCTTTAGGAGGGATGGCAAAGTCCAAATGAGAAGCACTACTAACTGGGAACAAACTCTCCCTGAAAAATAACTCCAGGAGAGGGGGAAATTGAATGCAGAGGAAGTGGGAAAAGAGGAGAACGATACAGACACAGCAAACAGGAAGAAACGTTTGCCCATGCTGGAGGAATTGACGGCTGGAGGCCAAGATTTAATGTTTAGCTTTTAACTTTGTTCCTTATTTCTTTCTACCTTGCTCTTAAGTTTTTGTACCTAGGTACTTTTTAACTAAGATGGTGCTGTGTGTAGCGACATTGAAAACTTTTTGCTGTACTCCTGTACTTGAGGACACGCAACAATAAAGTTTAAAACTAAATCTAGATTTAAGGTAACGGGCAGGAGGTTTAGAGGAAAAGAATTCACCCAGGGGCTGCTGGGAATCTGGAACTCACTGTAAGGGTGGTAGAGACAGAAACCCTCAGAACTGTTTGGATGCACATTTACAATGCCAAGGCATACAAGGGCATGGGAAAGTGCTGGGAAATGGGATAGAATATTAACATGGCTGTTTATGACTGGTGCAGACACAATGGGCTGAAGGGCCTTTTTGGTGCTGTAGACCTCTATGATGATGACTCCGTGAGAGGGGCGACACAGCAATGAGAGGGGAGAGATCCACCTCAGGCATGAGGAAGGAAGAAAGGTGACTCCTTCCCTCCATAGGGAACAGTTTGTCAATCCTCAAAACCTTCCTCACCTCTGAAATAAAACACCAACATAGGGAGGAAACTAATTGGGAAGGTCCCTGGGAATTTCCAACAGTACCCCCAACAAATGAATATTCCATCACACTCCTGACTTGTAGATGGTGGACAGAGGCCGGAGAGTCAGGAGGAGAATTAATTGTCTGCAAAGCACTTTGGAAAATATTGAGGTTTGGGAGGCACTATATAAATGCAAAACGCGTTTGTTTGATCCAATTGGATGCAATAGAAAGATCGGTATAACTAGTTAAGGCTGACGTTTCTGGTCGGGACCCTTCTTCAGAAAACCTGACCCGAAACGTCAGCTTTCCTGCTCCTCTGATGCTGCCTGGCCTGCTGTGTTCATCCAGCTCCACACTGTGTTGTCTCTGACTCCAGCATCTGCAGTTCTTACTACCTCTCAGTATAACTAGTTACCTGTTTAAAGTAACACAATTTTTGAAGGGGGAAGGCACGACAGCTTTGTGGAAGTGTAGGCACAAGGAAGCCAATTTGATTTATAACTGGGGCCTGGTATCTCACAGCTGCCTTTAATGTGTTATTCCCCTATCCCTGACTGAACTATTGTGTCAGTTCCCATTATTCAGGGTTGCTCTTGCTGTAACTGGTGCAGCAGCACTCTCTGCTGGTAGGAAATTGCTACTGCCTGAATTTTTAAGAAATGGTCCTGAATTTCAGAGATAACGAGGTGTAGAGCTGGATGAACGCAGCAGGCCCAGCAGCATCAGAGGAGCAGGAAGGCTGACGTTTCAGAAGGGTCCAGGCCCGAAACGTCAGCCTTCCTGCTCCTCTGATGCTGCTTGGCCTGCTGTGTTCATCCAGCTCTACACCTTGTTATCTCAGACTATCTAGCATCTGCAGTTCTACTATCCCTGAATTTCAGGACAGGCTCTATAGAATCATAACAGTATAGAAACAGAGTCTTCAGTCCAACCAATCCATGCTGAACTTAACCCAAAACTAAACTAATCCCACCTTCCTGCTCCTGGCCCATATCCCTCCAAACCTTTCCTATTTGTGTACTTATCCAAATGTCTTTTAAACATCATAATTGTACCCACATCCACCACTTCCTCAGGAAGTTCATTCCACATGCAAACTGCCCCCATGTAGAAAATTTGCCCCTCATGTCTTTTTAGGATCTCTCTCCTCTCACCTTAAAAATGAGACCCCACTCTTGAAATCCCCTACCCTAGGGAAAAGACACCTACCATTCACCATATGTATACTCCTCATTATTTTATTAACTTCTATCACATCATCTCTCAACCTCCCATGCTCCAGTGAATGAAGTCCCAGCCTATCCAGCCTTTCTTTATAGTTCAAACCTTCCATACCCAGCAACATCCTGGTAAATCACTTCTGAACCCTCTCCAGCTTAATAATATCCTCCCTATAACTGGGCGACCAGAACTGGACACAATACTCCAGAAAGTTGTAGAATAGAGACTATCAGGGAAAAGGAATTCACCTTTAAAGGCTAAATATTTCCACCTCTATGTATCTTATTACAACCCAAGGATGCTTCTTAAAATCCTAGCTGTGTGATCAAGTGTTTTCTCATATCTCCTTAAGCTCTGTGTCAAAATTTGGCTGACAGTCTGCTTTGAAGTGTCTTGGGCTGTTTTATGATATTAAAGGTGCTACATCAATGAAGTTGTTATTTTGCTTTCTGCTAGCATTGGTCAATGTCAGATGCTTTCAGAACCGCTTGACTGTGTGCTCTAATTGGTAAGCTGTCTATTGTTGACATTGCTTTGGGGATTTGTCTCTCTGTTTCAGTGTGCGGGCGGTTATAGGTTCAGGTCCCACAGTGAGCCCTAATCTATGAGGAAGATAGTGTGGGGAATAAACACTGGCTAGGACCAGCTGCCCCTCGTGGCCCTATGTGGTGCTGTAGACCCGATGCAACACGTTTGACTGGGGAGTATCAGAGTGTCACTGGCTACTGACTGTACTGTGATGTGCTCCATTGCAGAGTCTCTCAACGGGAAGGGGCAGACCCATTGATTGAAGAGGTAAATGCAGGAGATGCCGCAGAGCCAACAGGACAAGGAACAGGTAAAGCCAACCTGCTTTCTCCTCTCTCTCCCCCTCCTCCACCACCAACCCAGCCCCTTGCCAATACTGAGCCCCAACGCTTGTGGGTCTTGTGGTACAGTGGGGTAGTAGCGGTGCCTCTGAGACAGAAGCTGCGGGCTTGGGTCCTGCTCTACATTTTGATGGTTCAAGAAGGTGCATTCAGAATGAGGGCAAACAGTTTGAGAATTGACCCTTGAATCTTCCCAGCACGTACCAATGGGAGACAGTAAAAGCAGGAGAGATTCCTGGTCGGACATGTCAATGTTGGAGGCTTGACTGTCACTATCTCTACAACATCTTTGTAAAGGTGCGTACTGCAACTCCCTGAGAGGAACGTAAGACACATCCACCAGAACCAGGTCAGGGAATTCACAATCTGCAAGGCTGGAACCGAGATAAGTTCAAATATTTAAGGCAGAAATCCAACACAACAACAATAATGTGTCACTGTGGTCGGTGAGAAGAACCTCCGATTGTAGCTTGTTCTTCTGGTGGGGGTTATTTTTGCTCATGGAATGGGGAGGAGGAAGAGGGAAAAAATCATAGAGAAGCTGGCAAGAAGAGAAGCCGTGGACTAGGTGGGGAAGTGGGGCTACAGAATCCAGGATCCTTCAGAGTATCAACCAGTTGAGCCCTAATAACCTGTGAATATATTTCCATGTGAGGCAGGCAGAGTTTAATTTTGGTGTCGCAGGGAACCAATGGAGCCAGCAGCAAAATGGTGCCTGAACCAAAGCTCAACCTTGATAGTATTGAATGGTGGAGCAGGCTCGATGGGCCGAACAGCCAACTCCTGCTCCAGTTTCTTACGTTCTGTTTAGTTTCGCAGCTGGTCAGGCCTAGTCAATCACAAATTGAATGCTGCGTTTGCTCCTGAGCAACACTTAGTTTTGAAATAACTCCACAGAGGCTGGTATCCCATCACCAAGTAACCCTTCATTTATACATGCATGGGACTTGACACTGGTCCGGCTCCCTCAGAGCCAGCTTTCAGAGTGAACAGAACCTCATACATTCTTGTTTATATCTGTCAGCCAGGGCTCCCTGATTGGACCAGATTAACAGCCCCAATCAGGGAACTCATATTCCTGGCTCGCCTCGTTATAATCGCTACAAGTTTCATGACTGATTCATTATTTTGTTTCAATGAGATTGGCTTCTATATAAAATACAGATTGCTTCTTCTTTCTAACTGGGCTGTAGATGGCACTCTATAGCTTTGTTTGAAGTCTACATTCCCAGGCCAAGTCACAGGATTCCCAACTCAATGGAGGTCATTCTTTGACTCTCAACAGGAATCCATTGCCTAAGGCATGTCCTTTAGCAACGTTGAATCACTCACACCCCCATCCTTCTGATCCCTCCTGAATGTTTTCTGTACTCCTGGTTACGGTGATTAACCCTCACGCTGTGTTTCAATGTCCTCCTCCAATGGCTTCCCTTGGTGGCTGAGACAAGAAGCAAAGCAGCATGGGACTCTTCCTGCTCCTCTGATGCTGCTTGGCCAGCTGTGTTCATCCAGCTCTACACCTTGTTATCTCGCCATGAGTAGCCTACTTCACTCTGATACTGAAATGGGACACATAAGGGAAGGTGATGGCCTAGTGGTATTATCGCTGGACCAGAGATTAACCCAGAGATCCAGCTGATGTTCTGCGGACTTGGGTTCAAATCCCACCACGGCAAATGCTGGAATTTGAGCTCAATAAAAAAAACAATCTGGAATTAAGAGTCTAGTTTTCTCTGGGTGCTCTGGTTTCCTCCCACAATCGAAAGATGTACAGGCTAGGTGGATTGGCTGTGCTAAATTGCCCCATAGTGGCCTGGGATGTGTAGGTTAGATGCGTTAGCCATGGGAAATATTAGGTCTGTGTGCAATGCCCTTCAGAGGGACAGTGTAGACCTGTTGGGCCAAATGGCCTGTTTCCACACTGCAGAGACTCTCTATGATGAATTCCAAGGACTCACAGCCCTCAGAGAGTGAAAAACAATGTTAGGGGTGGAATAATTGAAATGAAATTACACTGTACAGATAGAGGCCATTCAGTCATCATGTTAATGTAGCCATTTAGAAGATTGGCTGTTTTTTGCTTCCTACAGCTCTCAACTGAGCTACACTTTCAGGCATATCTCAACAACTCGATGAAGAGAAAGATTTTTCCTCACAGTTCTTTTGCTAATTATTTAAGCTTCATTCTGGTAACCAATCCTCCTGTCACTGGAAGTGGTTTCTGCCACTTTACTCTGTTACAATCCTTCATCATTTTGAGTGCGTCCAATTCGATTTTGTTTAATTTTCTCTGTTTGAAGGAGAACATCATTTTACCAATGGAGCTTGGACCCATCCAGTGATGGGTTGGGGCGGGGTGGGGGGGTGCG